TTTTTTTTTTTTTTTTTTTTTTTTTTTTTTTTTTTTTTCGTTTTGCCTGTTTTATTTGTTTTGTTTGATGGGTACTACTTACATAGCTACTTCAATATTTCAGGTACACTTTTATTACTTTATTTGGTGTTCTTGTCTACATGAAGGACRTTATTTAATTGTGGCATAAGCAAACAGCTGCCAAATGTAAAGCGTTGAGTCAACATAAAGGTAGGCTTTGAGCTCACAAGGATTTGTTCGATCGCCTAAGTATTGTTAGATCGTGTGAGGTGATATGATTTATTCCTTTATCAATAAGTTGTTAATGATACAAATTGCAGTTAAAAATTGAAAACCTTGAACTTGCAATAACTAGAAAGCAAACTTTCTAGTAATCAATTTTTTTTCTATCTAAGGAGCCTTATAAGAAACGTCTATTTATTTAAACTAGCCAAGTATCGATTTGTGTGTGATGTTTTTTATAGTTGTGTGTTAATATTTTCAAAAATGCTGTCTCTTTTGATTGATGTAGGATACTTTAGAAATGATTTCTCGCTTAGGCAAGGTTTTAGACTACACTCTCCGACCAGTCCCAACTGCTTCAATTTACACCCAAACCCATCCGAGATATCGAACCATTCCATTTTTCAGAAGGCATTATCTTTCCTCCATTTCCTCCTCGATCTCCTCCATACCATCTCGCTTTCTCTTGGACGCTGCATACCGCCTTAGCCTGTACGTGGCATAGTAAAACGTATGGATAACGGGACCAGCAACCAGTATACCGAGTAAAAATATTCCAATGGCTTGAAGAGGGTTGTTATTGTAGTCCGTAGCCTTGTATATGTACTCCTTGCTGATAAATGCCCAGTACAGCATTGTAGCTATCATATACAGAKTCGTGAACGCCATGGGGTATATCATATGGAATAGACGCACGGGCATGGAGCTTAGGGAGTGGTCAATTAACATGAACACAGAATTCAGAATATGGACGTTGACGTCTGAAAGAGTGACTCCAGTTCCATCGTAAACAAACAACCAGAAGAAGAATGTGACACCAAGCGCCATGGTTGCAGAAACACTGTAGAATAACCACTGAGCCTGTTGGAACCACCGCGCGTTGCCTTCAGTGGTATGCGCATGACCTCGTTCAGCATCCGCTGTGTGGACTTGTCGTTGTCTTTGCTTGGTGTACTCGAAGATGGTAGAGACCGCTGACACAAAGAAGTAGATAATAAGAACAAAGTAGGACCAGTTTGTAAGGTAGAAAAGCACCACAACTTGACGGAACCTATCGTGTGCAATAAGCCTGTATATGATCCATGAGATGCTGTAGAGGAAGAACACTGATCGATAGACGATAAGAACTGGTGTTGGGAACCACTGAAAATAAAACACTAAAAGCATTAGGTGTCCAGGTAATTAGTACTTAAAGACCAACTGTCATGTGCCTATATATGGATTTCAGTAAGTCAAAACGTAGTCGAGGTCCAAAACTTGACCATGGGAGGTCAAGTATGACACTCATTATTGAACACAATATTCACTGAACAAACATGCCCCCTCTCCTACAAGAAATATCGTAAATTGTTAATTTACATAAAGGCTAAATTTGACTTGCAAACGAGCTCCCAACATTCCTTTCGATCTTAGCTTGGATAATGTCAAACTTCTGAACATGACAATTGTTTTAATCGGTTGTAAATKCACAGTAAATGAAGAATGSAAATGATGTTTTGAGTGCGTCATGCAGGCTGAGCAAGATGATTGACTATTGGCTAAATAGTTTTATTGACGTTATCGATATTGATTCTCCTTTCAAAGATTCAAAAACTGTGAATATAATGAAAATTTGCTCTAAAAAAGATTAACGTTTCTATGTATATCACTATAGAATATGATTCATATAGGATATGAAGTTTGCCTAAATTCGGTGATATATTTTGAAGTTTTTGATGYTTGGCAACCAATACCATAGACTTCGGCTTCGCAAAAAGTAAAAGATTTGTGAAAGATGGTTTTATATATACATACTTCAACCGTGTAGAGTAGTAGCAAAATGATGCTTAGTAAGATTATTTTTCGTTTGTTTCCGATRAAAAATATGTATCACGCTATATTTATTTAGTGCTTCGAGGGTTAAGTAAACGGAACTCTATAACTGCCCTACTTTAAGTAGTATGAAGACTTAAAAATTTGACTCTCTACATGTAATGACAAGTAAAGAATCTTATAAAAACGTTAACAACAAATAGATAGAGCGAAAAAGGAATATTTACAAGTGACCATCTATGTCAAATATTGTGTGAACTTTCGACTGGCTGAGCTTAAAGACTAAATGTTATTATAATCTTACCGGTGACTCAAAAAAGTGTCTTGCAGGTTTGTAGTTCAACTCGAAGTTCTTTAAGTTGAATTCTTGCCTAAAACTTAACATTTTTCAATCCTAAGCAATGCGCAATGAATGGCGCGTTCATCCAAGGATAAAATGACAAGGACTACGTTATCATAACAGCAGACTGACAACAAAAGTCGATATTTGACCGAGACGCGGCCGATAATGATCGGGTCATAGCTCTCCACTCCTGAACTTTGAATAATAGACCTAGCTAATCCGTTGCTATAAACGTTTCCACCCAATTCAAACCACCCGGGAGTAAGTTTCATTGTTCGTTGTATTTTCATTTCACAACTCTTAGAAACAAAAGTTCTTTTCCCACAGGATCTKAATTGGGTGGGAACGTACATGGCAACGCGTTAGCCGATTAGGTCTATCAGTGTCAAGCTGAAGACGGATTGTGACAGAATGGGAATGTGCAGMGAACAGTGATTTTCTGGAGAAACTAGGGGTGCTTTCCATTTAGGCCGGCCAGTCCTCTTTGAGGTATATAATGCTTTTTGTCAACATTTTTCAGTCATTTCGAGGTTTTCTGTATAATAATGGATAGAATTTGAAATTTTGAATTTCCTAACTAAATGGGAATGATATATAATGACATTTTCTCTGGGTCTGGCCAGCCAGTTCTGACAAATGAGTTTTGTAAATTTAGAAGAGCTACTTGGATGGGGGCGTGCCGCAAGACTCTCAAAACCCTTACCCTATCCCAGACCAATTTTTGTGATTTTACATACCCTACCCCAGACTAAAGATACAAAGGTACATTATTTTAGCACTGAAAGYGTGGCCTAGCAGATACTATCACAGGCCAAACTCCACCCTACCCCAGACAATGATACTATACCCTAACCTAGACAAATAACTACCCTATGTCAGACAAAACTGCTACCCTAACCCAGACAAATGGGCAAAAAAATGATACCCTATCCCAGACTTGGAGTTCTGAAAAGGGGACCCTATCTGGCTGCACATACCCTCCCCTTACCCCTTCCCCCCTTCCCCCGGAGATGTATTTGAAGTTCTTTTGTTATGAACTGCTCATTCTAGGAGCCAGTTCTTACACACTATACCTGTGCATTGAACTTAACATTTCATTTAGGTCCGCATTATAAAAAAAAACCTCCCATTTGTGAGTTAGCCTACGGGCCTGATGGCAACCATTAAATTGCTTTCTAAAATCACGACACATTCACCCATACTTTTATGAATCTAACATATGTAAACCTAATGACAAATCAAATTAATATAAAAATATAACAAATATCGACATAGGCAACAAGATGGGAGTATTTTTTATTTATTTCACTCCGTTTCAACCATTCATTTTTCCTSTGATTTTCCYTCTTCGAGGTCATCAACTTTCGTTGTCTTCGAAGCCACATACTCCCGCAGCCTGTACGTTACATAGTAGAATGAGTGAATAATTGGAGCGGCAATCAATTTGGCGGACARCAATAGCGTAATAGCTAGAACAGGGTTGTTGCTATAGTCCATTTTCTTGTATATGTAATCCTTGCTGATAAACAGCCAGTAAAGCATTGTAGCTATCATATACATAAATGTGAACGCCATGGGGTATACCATATGGAATAGACGCACGGGCATGGAGCTTAKGGAGTGGTCAATTAGCATGAACACGGCATTCAGGAGGTGGACATTGACATCTGAAAGAGTTATACCCATGCCATYGTAATCAAACAACCAGAAGAATAAAGTGACTCCTATCGCCATGGAAGAAGAAATGCTGTACAAGAACCATTGAAACTTRTAAAACCACTTCATCTCAGCTTCAGAATCATCAACGTGACCTTTTTCAGAATCCGCCGCCGCTTGTGCCTTCGTTTCTCTTTTTTTAATGTAATGRTGAATTGTRACGACCGCTGACACAAGGAAGTAGATGATGAGAACAAAGTAGGACCAGTTCGTTAGGTAAAAGAGAACGACAAGTCGACGGAACCTCTCGTGAAAAATAACCCTGTATATGATCCATGAGATGCTGTAGAGGAAGAACGCTGATCGATAGACGATAAGAACTGGTGTTGGGAACCACTGAAATGACAAAAATATCAGTTCTTTACACAGTAAAATTCTTGTGTTTGTTTACTTGTTACTTTGCACACCAAACAACATTCGAGAGGCGAGGATAATAGGAATCTTAATTATGTATACAAATGTATTTATCATATAATTATCCATGAAATACCTATATTTCTCCATTTCGTAAAGTTGATGTTTCCACAAGTGAAAATAAAACATTCGAGGTTTCTCTCTATATATAGTGTAAGTAAGAAAAAAGCTATTTTACATAATTTGTTTTGATATTTAATTATATGATAAACGGAATATTACATGGTCGCTTGGAGATATGAATTTTATCTTCTCGTGTTGAAAATCTTTTCAAACATTTATCACATCAAATTTTTAATTTAAAACCTTTTAAAGTGCGTAATTTTTTTCCTGTTGGCAACTATTAATTTTGATTTCTGCTTCCATTGATCACGAATATTGAGACTGCGCTAAAAAGTTACTTCAATTATTCCTATTGTTTTCGCTGTCTATTCTGTACTTTATTTAATGCTTTGCTTTGTTTGTTTTTGTTTTGACCTTTTTCATAGGAGTTCTACTACCAGTATAACTATCATTCCACCCGTAGACTAGTTATGATATTTTACTCAAAACAATTTTTGTTTGSGAGTAGTTARCTAATCATGTAATTTGCCAAAGCTGTTTGTTAGTCAATGACAATCTTGTACTCTGTAAATATATCATATGTGTATTGGAAAGGATGATTTTACCGTTTAGATGACTWATATTGTAAATAACGTAGATTGCTGTCACCAGTTAACCTTACAATCTGATTATAAACTAGATAATGTTGTCATTGACGACCTGGGACGGGTTGTTCAAAGCCCGATTAGCGTTAATCCTGGGTTAASTCTTAGAAAACCTATGGAGTTGTTAACCCTGGATTAAGCGCTAATCAGGCTTAGAACAACACGGCCCTGAATAAAGAAAAGTTTATTATATTTGTTATTATATTTTTCTAGAAAGACCAAGCTTAAGCAAGCTATGAATATCTTTGCTATGATTATTCTCTATCTTTAGTAACTGGTGCCCTAATTCTGATTTCTGACATGGGTCGATGGTTGTTTTCTGTCAAAAATATCAAGAAAAACTGGTACCAGCTTGTTAAGTTTATTATTTTGAAAAGATATTAACACATCTATGACAATTTACAAGAGAAATAAAAAAGTGTGCAAAATTTATAAGTAATTTTCTCATGCAGACGACATTTTGACTCAGTAGACTCTAAAGTGCTAAGGCTTGGTGCATTGAATTTTCTAGGACAAGTCAATAGCAAGTTATCCATGGATGACTGATTTGTATGTTAGTTATCTTAAGCGCTTAGCGAAGGAATTGTAAAACTACATCTGTACATGCCTCTAGATGTTCCATTTTCTGTCTTTTTGTATCAGCTCAAAAGTGTTTATTATGATATTGCTAGGCATGTTAAAAAATGCAAGTTTAAGTTATATAAAAAATAGCTAAAATAGTGTGTAGTATTACAGATAACAGGTGAACAAATCTGCTGTCTATTACTGACTATTACTCTACGAGAATGTCGTGTGAGATGATTGTGTGCAGTTCATAAAACCTCGTGAAAAATGATAATAATAACTTGAAAGAAATAAGGATAAATGCCAGTTCAAAATCGAGCATTCATGAAAACGATCTTTGCAAGCACTGGCAGAAAATGAAAGGTCGACAGAACACATGGATTGTTAACTTACCGGAGATTCAAAAAAATGGTTAACAGGTTTGTAGTCGAACTTAATGTTTTTTAGCTGAAATTCTTGTTTAAAGGTTAACATTTTAAAATTAATCGTGAGAAATCCACAATGAGCCCTGTTGAACACGCGAACAAGGCAAAGGTATAAACATAGTATATTAGGAGGGGTGGAGTGAGGAACTAATGTCGGACAACCTAATTGTACCCAGTTCTTTGCTAACACGCGCGGTCTGTTTCGGGAAATGTTTCACGTGTACATGTAAATCTTGGTCTCGAGGTATAAAGTGGCTTTATACGTAAACATATAAGGACGTATTGAATCCAAATTATCAAGGCAAATTCAAATATTGAATCTGGAATTCATTAAATATTTCAAAGTCTCAAAGAAATTTTATTGTAAGGTCGCTTTCTACTCGGGTTGTATATATTTGTACATCTTGAGCCTAAATATCCAATACAAAATCAGTTGACCAAAAGGCTGACAAATGAATATTGCTAAAGCAAAAAGCCCAAGAATTCGTTCAGGGTGTGCACTGTAGTTGACAACGCTGTACAGCGGTTCGTTTTCTATAAGTTTCCAATGCAAAAGTGTGGCTATTACGTACGTAGATAAAAACATCATGGGAAATACCACGTGGAGAAAGCGAACGGGCATGCAGCTAAGAACATGYTCTAACAAGACAAATACAGCATTTAGTATATGTGCATTAACATCAGATAAATCAACATAGTCACTTGTGTAATCAAATATGAATATCCAGTACGACCCTGTAACAATAAGGGCCATGACACTGCCAATGTCAAAGAGRAGCCACTGGAGCTTGTGGTACCATTTCATGTTATCTTCGCGCGCATGCGCAACGCCTTGCTCTTTCTGTCTTTGTTTRATATARTACATCARTGTGAGTGTTGCTGACAGTTGGAAGTARATCGACAAAGTCACATACGACCAATATGTTAAGAGAAAGAGCGTTTTGACTTGACGKGCTTTYTCGTATGCSGCTAWACGAACAATRACCCATGTGAGRCTRTACARGGCGAACAATGCTCTAATGGCCAACAGCGCGGGGACTGGTAACCACTGAAATAAAGGATATTTTAGATATATATTAGATACAGTCAATTCCATAAAAATTATTCACTTGAAAAGACATACTCAACAAAGAACTCCTAGCTTTGCATAACAATGTTTTTAGTATTCGCAGATAGATAAATAGCGTGACAYTGTAAAAAGTTTTGCTTTGTATATTTTTTGGCAAMGAAATTAAGAACACGATTATGCAAGCGCGATTTTGTTGTTGTCTTTACGTCTTTACAACTGAGCAACTTTAATGGGATTGACTGTAGTTGTACTAACAACAAAAATAAATAAAYAAAAATAATGTCTTCATTGCAAAATTATATTAAGAATTATAGTGAAAATTATTAGATGATATGATGATGATAAGAAATAATTCGCACAAGGTTTCAATCATGGTAATTCGTTGTAAGCAAATGTTAGGTTTTTTGTAGTTGAAATGGCTATAAAGATCGCTAACTTACCGGAGATTCAAAGAAGTGAYTAACAGGAGTATAGTCGAACTTGAAGTTCTTTAGCTGAAATTCTTGTTTAAAGGGTTCCATTGTTAACATCACGCGAAAGAAGTACACAATGATAGAGTAGTCTAAAGACTCCTGTTTAAGGGATGGAGGAGGAACCCGGGCTAGATCTAGGCGCGATGGCAATTTATTTTTATCACCTATTCCTTGACATTAAAAATACATACATTACCGGCGACTACAAAGCTAGTGGGTGGTGTGAGCTGATAACGRTAATACAATCAATTCTAATAAGATTTTGACCCCTTGTCAATGAACCACCAACATGCCCTGGGGATGAACATGACATCAACTGTCGGTAACGGTATCATGACCCAGTAATGCATGGTTTGTTGGGCTTGTTGAGCTTGCGTTTTATGGCAAGGTTTCAACTTGACAGTTTCTACTGGGCCAACTAAAACATGAATTTTCATTTTTTTCCAATTTATTTATTTATTCGAATAATTGAATTTGTTATTTAGAAAATAGTAAACGATGAACTATAGTGGCTAATAAGTAATGGACGACAAAAAAACATGCAAAACGAAAGTCAAATTAAAATGATACATATACACTTAATTGAAAAAGAAGTTCTCGAGTAGCAAAAAGGTCGTCATAATAATCGAAGGAAACTGACACTGAAACCGATTGGATTATAGCATTACTCGTAGTGAAGGTCGTTTTATTCAGTGCAGGCAATCTGTTTACACTAAAACACTGTTAATACTCATAATATTTGCTTTCCCATGCTCCCTTTCGGGCTTCGCTTTCATTATAAAACCTTTTGGAACCATTTTTTTAAGTAAAAAGAAAATTAAAAAATTAAATACTAATTAGTTACTGGCGAAGAAACTAAATCGTAAAATCTATTTCTAGTCAGACSGTATTTTTCTGCAGCAAATATCTTCAGCCTAAATATCCCATAAAGAAACAACTGAACCAATGGCTGTAATATMATTATGGTCGCAGCACAAAACCCAGCAGTCCGACCAGGGTGTGAACTATAGTCTAAAACGGTATACAAAGGTGTTTTTGTTATGAATACCCAATACAAAACTGTAGCTATGACATACGTACATGCAAAWAGSATTGAATATATCGCGTGCAGCAGTCGTACTGGCATACAGCTAATAATATGATCTAGTACAAAGAACAAAGTGTTCAGTATGTGAACATTAACATCATTAATTTCGACRTGRTCTCTTTTAAAATCAAARACAAACGCCCAATAAGAGAATGTCACAACYATGGCCATGACGCYGGCAATGTTGAAGAAAAGCCACTGGAGTTTGTAATACCATTTCGCTCCTTCTTCTTCTTCTTCAGAAGCATGAGCCAATTGTCCTTTCCGTCTTTGTTTCACATAGTAAAGCACTGTGGTTGTCAGTGATAGTTGGAAGTAGATAACCAAAGCTACGTATGACCAATATGTCAACAGGAAGAGYGTTCTTACTTTACGTATACTTTCGTATGCGGCTATACGAACTATCGCCCATGTGAGRTTGTACAGAGCGAAAAATGYTCTAAATGCCAACAGCACTGGAGCTGAAAACCACTGAAAATCAGAATAATAGTCGTATTAAATGACATAATATTGCTTTTTATTAAATTCATTCATGATTCACTAGGTAAAAAACACAATGGAAAATCATTGCCGTGACCGCATCTATATATCAGCAAGATATTTGTTCTGATTTGCATACGTACGACTTTAACATTGATTTTATCTTAACTATTGATACTTCATCTTAATTTTTTTAGCAAAATATGCTTTAGCTTGCAGCTCGCAGTTTTATATGCCCGCTCATATTCTATATATTACATAACGCCCCCTTAGATTCGTCGAGAACCAAGTATTTTTAAAAAACTTAATACTCACTAAAATATACGAATTAATACACTTTACCAAAAATCTGCAAAACCAAGAGACTCAGAAACACTGTTTTTGTACACTATTGTACATAACTTTGACGTTTTTTGTAGTATGTATTATATAATTTCTTGTAAAGTTTTATCTTAACTGCAAGTTTAGATCTATCTATCTACGGTTGACGCTATTGAATCTTACGTGCGCTCTGATTGGTTAGAACTTGTGCGCATGGTCTGTTGTTTCTTCGTTTAACTATTTCAATGAAACTACGCGCGCTCCTATAATATTTTAGCAAAAATATTATATCAAACAAATTGATACCATTTTTCCTTGCGTCTGTACACTTCTAATAGATCAGTACTCATAAGACATTAAAATGTGATGATGACAACATTCACGCCACTCGACTACGTTTTGTTGCGTACATTTTTGTTCTCGACGCATTTTGACGTTATCATTTTGTCTATTGCAGAACAGACACACGGAAAAAGGAACCATTAGTTAAAGTGAATATACATATTCAATAGCCAGAAAAAATTCAGTTGACAAAACKGTATAAATTACTTATCTAAGTGGCTTACCGGAGAGGTAACAAAGTCTTGTACTGGTCTGTGGTTCAAGTTGAAGTTTTTTAACTTGAATTCCTGTTTAAAACTAAACATGCCTCGCTTAWTTACTAGGATTTGATATAACGTTAATTATACACCTATCCTAAACCAATGCTCTGCATGTACACTAACGAGAACAGCAGGAACGAAGGATTGCTCTTGAATCTTTCTGGTAAACCATGTGCAAGTTTCGATACAGATTTCAAATCYATATATAGATATTTTAGCAAGTAGAATGAAATTAAACAAAACACCAACTTGAAGCTATAATAATTATAAACCAGTTTGTGGTGATGTTGAATAAACAAATGAAAGTTGAACAACAGTTCAAAAGTTAAAGTAAAATAATTGTCTTGGCCAACTAGGATACTTAGCATATATGCTTATTATCAAAGAAATATTAAGTGGTGTTTCTTATAAGGCCTTTGACTTAATTATAACAGTTTTGTTTTCTATAGTATTAAAACAACGGAATTCATGAGGACCCTCCTACCCTTATCTTATAACACACAGCAATAGCCATTCCACTATCTTGGGCCTGATAGAAAGCAATTATGTTTTACTTGATCCTTCTTGTAAGACTCAGTACGTTTAACCACAAACTTTTCATCAGTAGCATGACAACCACGGTTTCGWTATAAACATAGCTTAAAAGCGTTCTTTCGTTCTTCTGTGACCATGCGCGACAATTGAGCTCTGAAGAGGTCTAGACAATCTCGTACCCAGTGCCACTGTCCCTCTTACTCGCAGGCTCACAGGCTCGACGAAAAACAGCTCTTGTTTTTCGTCGAGCATGCGCAGTAAGAGGGACAAGGGCGCTGGGTACGAGATTGAGTTCTGGAGACGTGGACTCTCCTGCCTTTCCACAGGTAACCCAGGCTTGGTATTTGTATAAGGGAATGTATGTAGAATATATAAATATTATACTTTCAGCGACAAAAGTTTGTAAATAAAAAAATAAAGTGCTCTTTTAATACCGTCTCGCTCAAGAATATTGCCATTTCGAGCGTTTTTAAAGCGATTTTCGGAAAGGGTTCCTGTTTCAAGGACATAAAAATTATGCAAACAGTTTGCTTGTATTGGGTGAACTATGCCCTGGAATAATTCACACAGTATTTTGAAAATGAAATAGTACGCCAGTGGTAGTTGTTGTTGCTTTGTTTGTAAGTTTTAATTTAGTTTTGTGTGAAGACCGGCTGTCTTCATAAAGAATGCGTGATACGTGACGGGTGGCCGGAAGGCGTGACGAATTAAATATATATTAACAGCTAGTTCACACTAAAATACCAAAAGATTATAACCTCCTATCGCACAAGTATATWTTTACCTACTTTTTGATATTGAAATCAAAAACTTTTCATGTTTATGAAGTGCGTTTCTGAGCTTGGTTGAGTTATGGCGTGTTGATAAGTGTTTTTAACATCGGTAACCAATAGGACTTCGCCTATTGTTAGGTAAATGAGTCCCTCACGCCTGAATAACACAACGCCGATGCATTCAAATAACGGTGTGTGAAAGCATGGTTAGGTTAAGTTGGAGCGTTTGAATTCAACCCCGTACAATGCCGTTTCGCTGTGACTTTTCTGATGTCCTAACTGAATTCCAATTAAAGAACTTTCGCTTGATCTATCACAATTCGGCAGATTTCACTGAATCTCCGGTAAGTTATATTTTATGAAATATTCTACTTTCGCTTGTAAACCTTTCCATTGTCTGTTGAACAGACACATTATGTTGAATTCGCTGATAAAATTGGCCACCACTTTACGCGAGGAACACCTCAAGCCACRATCTCACGATTTTGAAATGACCGTAAAAGAGTTTAATTCAAACAGAAGTGTTAGAAAACATAAAGATGATGGCCCACGAAGATTATAAAGTAGAATGTTATTCGTGAAATCGAGCAGTTTGTTTTAGCTGTTGGCGGTTTCAAAATTGTTTACATTTATCTTATATTCTATGTGGATATCATGTAAAATTTGTGCTAAAATAYTCTTAAATTGTGAATGAGCATGTTTCCTTCGTCATGAACATAYAAGATGCCAATAACTTAGGCCGCTAYRTAATCAYTRGTAAAGAAATTGATACATTTAGGCACTTGCGGTTTCTTCGTGTCTATAATTTGAATCAATATTTTAATTTCGTGCCTCTCATGATATTTTTAATGAAACTTSTGATCAGTTCTTTCTTTTCGTGATATCGATGACACAGCGGGAGACTTTGTTATTCTTGCAAGTTTACTGACAAAACCCCATTGGTCCCGTCATGGTGCCAATTTCGTGCTAAAAATAATCATATATTTTATWYTTATTTGAAGTTGAATTGTTAGCAAATGTAGAGCAGATCTTGAAAAGAATGTGTTGGAAATTCAATGTCAATGATACGGCCCATTTAGAACTATTAAGGTTTATAATTTTCGTACAAAACCATATAAGGGTTTGTAGTTTCAAAATGAGGAATGGCAAAATGGCGACTTCAATCAATCATAATATATTCGTGAAGCTCTTAAYTTTATACTGATTTGCGCAGTTTTTTAGGAAACTATTTCAAAGATATTGTAAATGTGCCCTCTTGTCTCTCATTTTATGGGAATCAAAATAATGGGAAATGATAGAAAAGGGATTTATACCGAATCATATTTTGGTTTATAAAAGTACATTTTTAGCTATGCTATGATATAAAAGCTATAGAATTATCAAGCCATCTTAACCTGCTGTATAGTATGTATGCATATCTACATCATATTCAGCAAACAATGTCTGCTTGAGTCAACCAAATGATTTGATTGCCCCAGGTGAATTTCTATGGTTGGTTCTCATACAAATAATCTTTCTTTTCAAATCAAGACAAAATATATATCATGGATTCCTTAAAAGAGTAAAACTTGTTTTAGAAGTTCTATAAAAAGCTCAATAGGTTCTATGTAGAAAACCATGGAGATGTTGTTGCTGTAGTTGTTGTTGTTGCTGCTGTTGTTGTTTTAATTGCAGGAAATGTATGTTGTGTCTTATGCCCTCAGCATACATTTCTCTGTAAATTTGTTTAAAAAATCATATATCTCTGAGCGGGTTTTGTGGGAACTTTCCAGGATTTTACAGAGCTTCTAAGTGAAGAATGTTCTTAGCATTCCAGTATTTCATTTTGTGTTAAGTTGAAAAAAATGTTAAATGCTAATGTGCAGGGGCCATCTTGGCTATTTGTGCTCAATCTAATGATTTCATTTCTTCTCCAGTTCTTTGGGGTGTTAGTTGTTCTAATCTACCGCTGTATCTTCGCCGTCTACTGTTTCTGTTGGCTCATTGCAGGCAGCGTCCATCCAACCAATGGGGATACCAAATGGTTTATCTACCTAAGCAACTGGGCATACCTATTTCTTACAATCTACTACATATATTCGTCTATTCTTACTGGTATTTACTACCGTGGAGAATGGATGATAGGAGAATACGATGTGCAAGATAACGACGTTTTAAGACCCAAGTCAAGATCACGCTTAGGCGAAACTGAGCAACCGCCAGACGAGGAAATCCGCTATGATAATCCGCTGGACATGAGGATCGAAGAGCCGGTACGCTGGTACCACGAGACATTATGGGTTATCTACAACATCGCCGCGACTAACGCCGTAGCTGTGACTTTGTATTATATTATAATTGGCTATCCCAAGTCCCTCTCGTCCTACACTCCGGATGGACTGGACATAAGCACACACGTGCTGAACACGATTTTTGTCCTTGCGGATACGTCCCTAAGTCGCGTTCCCGTGCGTATTTATCACGTGATTTATCCCATGCTTTTCTTTGTAGTTTACGTAATGTTTTGCGTCATGTACTGGGCTGGCGACGGCTTAAACACTTACGGATACACTTTTATCTATAGTTGGTTGGATTTTACCAACAAACCAGGTGTTGCGACGGCGTTCATATTTGGATACACGTTTGTAGCTTTGGTGATTGCGCAGTTGAGTCTGTTTGGGATTAGCAAACTTCGTTTATTTATCAGCAAGAGGGTAAAATTGCACCAAAGATCGAAGAGGCAGAGGAGCTTGGAGCACGAAACATGAATTGAACACGTGATTTAACCATGCAGTGGTAGGGTGGGGGGTAGCCATTTTACAACCCTCCTTTTTAATGATGTAATCATGTGGAAGCAGAAACCTATAAGGAACTTAAAACGTATAGCGCCAGTACATTTCTTTAGTACCAAGCGTCGGAATATTCAAAGCTCATTAAAAATTCGAAAGCGAACGTTATGACCATATTTGGAAAATTCCGCTGTTGGATAAAGCGTGGATTTCACTAGCACATAAGCATAGCATAAGCACAAGCATGAGAATCATATGCGCCAGTGAGAACGGGCTCGACATAAGCATAAGACATTGAGCATGCGCACGAGCGTATTATTTCGGTACCAGGCTATGCTTATGCCTATGCAGTCCCGTTCTCACTGAGCATAAGCATGAGATAAGCACAAGAAGATCAAGCCTTGCTCGTTTTTCTTGTGCTCATGCTTATTTTTAGCCCGTTCTCACTGGCGCATATGACTCTCGTGCTTATGCCTATGCTTATGCGCTAGTGAAATCCACGCTTAAGAGATTTAAGGCCCGTTCTGGTTGGCTAGGGTAAATTGAATTGTTCCAAATAAGGAAATGATATGCAAATTAGATTTGAATATTTCAACGGATGGCACGGCACCTTATAGGTTTCTGGTGGAAGCCAAAAGGCTTCAGCTTGTGGCAGCTTTGATACAGAGCAAAACTCCTTCCAGTATGGACGTTTTAAGTCCGATTATTACGTAATGAATATATATGCTGTATCCTTTCATTTATGACCAGTGGCCTGCGTTTCAGACTGATATATTTAAAGACTTTAATTTCCAGTATTGAAGTACAAGCTAGGGAGTAGCATCATGTCGTCATTTACAGATTCACAGGAAGACAGAAAGCCCAAGGGTAGAAAGAAGGGCGTAAAAGAAGAGAGGCCTGAAGACAAGGCTAAGTAGCTGCATAAATAATGAAATAATCTCAGTATTGATTAAGTTGGTGCAGACAAACCACAGATACATTGACCATGTATAAAAGTATAAGTTAAAGAAATAAACATTTGAAATGAAAATAAAAGTAAGTGGTGTTTGTTTTCTTGAAAAACTCAATATTACCCTGGATACTTTGCGCGCCACGTGTTGCACGAAATGTTTTTGACATGGGCGATTTCACTATCAAGATTGAAGTAGTTCTTTATAAACTAGCTGATCTTTCAAGGTCTTTTAATGAGGCATGAAGTAAAAAATACAACGGTCACTGTACAAAGCTTGTATATGGCTAAACTGACGACTGTCTTATTATATTTTATTCTATTATACAACTTATTGATTGTATCCTATGTATAAAATTATGTTGATTGTTAATAAAGAAATTACAAAAAAAAAAAAAAAATTGTTGGCCTCCTAAAAATGAAAGCATTTTGAAGACTGGGTACTAAAATGACCACATTAGCATATTCAAGACAAAAAGAAACCATATTGAGTCAACAAGTCCTGGCTAGAAATAATGACACTTCGCGACGAATTTCGATGTTCTATGATAAGACTTGATCACGACAAAGCACGTGACTTCGCTGAATCACCCGTAAGTATATCAATGCTTAATGCATGAATCAAGATGAATTAACCGGCATTATTCGTTTATTATTTGTCCCGTTGAGATGCACATTTCAAAGTAAATAAAACAACTATTAGACGCCAGAAAGTAAGATCCATGTATCGTCTATTTAATGCAAATATTGTGCAATGAAAATCCTTTGTATCATGCGACTAGGTGATATCAAAGCCGCACAAGAGAGAGTTTTTTAGATTGAGGGCCTCTAAAGATAATGTTCTGACTCAGGTCCTTCTGATCTCTTAATGTAGCAACAAATTCGATAAAAATTGCCAAACTTTTCTCGGATAAAAAGACACCAATTCCAAGCTTACTTAAATCAACACTGCGAATATTTTTATTAGAACACATAAAACTTGTTTCATGCGCAGACTAACTGAGACAACATCAGGATTTAGGTGAATATTTCTTGCATACCGTAAGCCGATCTATTTTGCATACTGAATGACCTACTCACCCATGAAGTCATGACAGCTAGTAGTTGTTTGAACAAATAACAGTTAAAAATCACAAGCAGGGAGCTCGCACGCACAGAAATTCATAGCGCAGCCATATTGCAATCTTTTTATCAATATGGCCGCCATCTTGAATCTTTTTTTGGTAAAGCCCGTTTACACCTGCGATTTTTGCAGAGCGATTCTTAGTGCGGCGATCGTCACGCGACCATCGTCTGAGTCTTTCGGACGTCATGCTTGAAAATTGGCTGCAACTTCGTGGCGATTTTAGTTGCGGAACAGCAAAGTGGCGATCATCGCGCTACAAAATTCGCAAGTGTAAACGGCCCTGTAGGGGGGATATTATTTGATACCTAGCAGGAAGTTCTCGGTCGTGAGAATGTTGTTGATAGACTTATTGATTGATTGACAGACTGGCTGATTGATCAGAAGTGCAAAGCTTCTGTTGATCGATTGATCGATTGATCGATTGATCGATCGATCGAGATCGATCGATCGATCGATTGATTGATTGATTGATTGATTGATTGATTGATTGATTGATTGATTGATTGATTGATTGATTGATTGATTGATGTACTGTTCTTTCAGTGGGTGCCATGGTACATTCTAGCCATATACCGTACTGTATTCGCCGTGTACTGCACTGGCTGGATCATTTATAGCGGTACCCTCCTCGACTTCTCTTGGTTCGTATACCTTACAAACTGGGGCTACTCAGTCGTTACGATATACTTCATTTTCGCCTCTGTCGTCACCCTGTGGTACCACTATAAAGAAAAGAACTATGCAGACATTACAACGGATGTCAAGATGACTAATACTCAGTCTCATCGCAGCGAAGATGGAAAGGAGACTAAGTTTGAGTTTCCACCCAAATGGCACCACAAGACTTTGTGGGTCATACATTCCATAGGTACCAATATAGCAGTGATCGTAACAGTTCTATATTGGAGTCTCTTTTCTTCCTATGTGGACGGAACTGGTGTTAGGTTTGGTCTAGATATCAGCAATCACATATTGAATTGTGTATTCATGTTAATTGACTTGGCATTGTCTTCCATTCCTGTAAGAATTCTTCATATGGTTTGTCCGATGATATTCGGTGTTTTTTATGGCATTTCTACTGTAATTTACTGGACAATTGAGCGCCACGCTCTTTATGGTTTGCTTGATTATGGTAATAAACCAGGAATAGCTATCGGGTTGAGTTTGGGTCTTCTTTTCGTAGGCATTCCATTAACCCAGCTATTCATATACGGCTTGTATAGTTTAAGACTGGTTGTTGTTGAGAAATTTAAATCTTAATTCAATAAAAGCCAAGTGGAGAAGGAGACGTGATCAAAGAACTTATCAATTTAAAATATTACGTGTGTTAGAAAATCAACTTTTATCGGAGAAAAAAGTGAACAGTCATAGTATAGCGATACTCAATGTTTATCAACAAACTCATTCTCATGTTAATGTGGCAACCATGGTCAGAATGGCTCTATTTCCTTCACAAGCTTCCCAAATGGTTCTGAAGCTAGGGTAGCAATCTTATTTTCCATTTTTATATAACTTTACCAGATTCCAATCAAAAATCATAAATCCCATTTTTGAATTCCCTTTTAATCCCATTCAAGGTTGCTGTTATTCTTGTATTTAAAAATCCCAGTCCTAGTGCATTTAATCCAAGTATAAGTATATTCAATCCCATTAGTCCCCGTCAAAAACAGGCTTCAGGTCCATTTTCCCATAAGTCGCGATCGATAATAATTCTTGTATAAATATATGTTTAAAGTGTTTAACGATAAATTTAGTGAACTGAAGAGGTTTTTGAACGAAACTAGTTTTCACTAAACTTATCGTCTATTCCGTCTGGGTGATTTAAGAAAATGCGACTAGCCAATCAGCGCAAAGCTGACAAGCTTATGTTGTAAACATAACCCTCCGACGGGAAGAATTTGCACAGCAAAACTCAACCTTCAGGAGTAGGCTGCCTGTCATTTCATTCTATCAAAAAAATCGAAGCTAAAACGCAAAGAGAAATTGAAGATCTTAATAAAATAGCTTTTAAATGTCAATCAAATATTTATCGTTATAGAAAGAGAATTTTATCTTAAAAATGAAAAAGCAAATAACTTTTTCTTTAATACCACGAGACTCCCCTCCCTGATAGAAATAATTGTTCTGTGTTCTACGCGGGTTCTCCATTGCATGCGAAGCAATGACCGACTTCACGAAGACTTCAGAAGGTCGTTGAAGCGACGTTCAAGTCCAAAGTATCTTAGGAGGAANGATTATGTTATCCTTGATATCACTTTTTAAGTGATCTAAAGAATGCTAAGCTTGAATAGTCTGAAGTTTATTTTCTGTTAATGAATTACTGTTTTTCCTACAAAAGGATATAATGTTTTGCATTCGATGAATATCTATCATCCATGTTTTACTGTTGAGTTACATAACTTTGTTTCAGTTTAAGAGTGTTAATAAAATTCTCTGTTGATATTCAATGTTGTCCTTTATTTATATATTCTATCATAAATACAAATAATCCATTCTCAACAACCCTGGGCTTTTCTTCTATCTCTAGTTCCTCGCTACAAATGATATGGTTTTTTCTTGTATTGTTTTTTTGTTCTAATAGAAGTACATATACGTGTACCACATTTCCCTTCATATGGGTTCCAGATGATACATTAATATGTCCCACATGAAAATAAATATTCTGCTATTGATCATCACATTTGAACTCAATATTTCATTTGACACTGCTGCAACCTACCTAGTAATGATGATAATATTAACGATAACAATAATAATAGAGTGCACCCCACAAAACTGTGATAACTAAATTTTAACAGCCCAAGTTAGTTTGGAATTGTTTCACACTTCCGTGGAGTACACTCTAAGAATAATAGTAATGATGATGATGATAATACTATATTAGAATTCTAAACTCTGGATTTTGAGTCTAATTTATAAGAAAAGAGAAATCTCAAGTCTAAATTTTAAAGGATAAAATAAGGTTATCTGACGAAAATAGTAATTTAGGATTAAAAGAATCCGATCAGCTGGAGTAGCCATCTTTTTCTTTTAATATATTCCTGAAGTATCTAAAGTACTAGTTCCTTATTAGATTTCTAGAGTGGTTTTTTAAACCATATGGACCTTGGTATGGTGAGCCACGGGATTCCTGTCTCGTTACAAAGGAAGCCCAATGCATGAAAAGAGAGTTGCGTCACAGCAGTGTCATCAATTACGCACAAGTATTTCCTTATCATTGTTGCAGAGGTAACACCATGAGCAGGAAAAAAATTGTACAGAGCTAATGGATACTTCAATTTTCACCTAAACATACTAAAGTGGGCCGAGCGAGAAGCCACCTTGGCTCTTGTTCTGTTAAAAAAATATATATATTGGCAGCACAGAAGTCCAAAAAAAATTATATACTTTTCATATTAAAAAAAATGACCCAAAAAAATTCCCCTACCTCCTATCACTTCTCTAATGGGTCGTCCCTGAAGGTTCTCAAGGATTCGAGAGCAAAGAGTCACATGGTTAGCAGAAAACCAATGGAGATTCGTTATCAAAATTGTACATATTCATTAGGACAACAATGCGTGACAACAAACAAAGCTTTATAATCTGTTTTCGCGTGTGATTTGATTCGAAAGGTGTGCACGTACTCTAAAGTGATTATCGCTAAACAAAATGGCGTTGCGAGACGAATTTCGCATTTCAATGTTCAAATTAAACCACGACAAGGCTCGAGACTTCGCTGAATCACCGGTAAGTAAATCAATCGACTAATACCAGCAATATTGATTCAAGGCAATACAGCTCTTGACATTTACTAATAAACACCATGCATTGTATCAAAAGTCTATGAAATAGTATTGATCAAATTTGGACATAAATAGGTAAATGTTTGTTATAAATACCGCTAAATAAATGCATTTTATACTCCGTTATTGCAATCACAATGTTGATCATTGAGCCGCACCTCGATTCAATTGTATATCATGCTTAATATCAATATGAGGCAGTGAAATGTTTTTTTAATTCATGCATGTGTAGTTTTTGTAGCTTAAAAAAAGTCAGTGCACGTTTTGTAGTGTAGATTTTACCACCGTAAGACTTGTATGGGAGAACAAATGATTCAAATTGTCAAGTTGATTGCGTGACTTTATATATTCAAAAAAGATGCTAATTTCCATACAAGTGTTTTGCTCAATGCTTAACTAATGACGTCATGTTTATGTATATGTTGTTGCATGATTGACACATCCACGATATTAGACGAGAGCGATACATTCTTTCTCTTATATCTGTGAATTCATTTAGTATCACTTTAAAAACAAAATTATACCAAGTAACCACTCACGTAAACATGTAAAAAGGCCGTATTTTTTTATCATCCTCGGTAACCCGTTCAGTGAGTAACGAACGACACTCAAGATTACCCCTGGGTTCCCGAGGATGTTTTTTTATAGTTCATCAACCAGAACATGAATATTTAAAATTTTTCTCAGATATTACATATAATCTGTTTTCAAATTTAAAAAAGAAAGAAACACAAAAAGAAAGAAAGCTACATGCATTTTAAACCCACGATCAAAAAATTGTATCAAAAGATGCATGTGATTTATGCTTCATTTGCATCTTGCCAGCGGCCATTTTGAGTCAAGTGCTTTCAAATTGTATGGTATAAGCTGATACAGAATCTGCTGTGTGTTTTCTCGTGGCATGTTTCTCTGATAATACTCGTCTTAGCGTTCATTGCTTGGTTTTATGAATGTATAAGAGTAGTGAAAGCGGGTACTAGAGGGGGGCTCAATATATTGAGTATAATTACGTTTGCGGGCTCAAAATGTACCAGCGCCATTTTTCGTCAAATATGTGTGACGTTGGAAGGAAAAGGGTTAAAATTAGATATTCCTTTTAATGATATCTTTATCTTGTACAGTGGATGCCTTGGTATTTGCTAGCCGTGTTACGCCTCATATTTGCTGCCTACTGCACTGGGTGGATCATCGCTAGTGGTTTCTTTAAAGTCAACGGAGGTGCCAAATGGTTCATATTTTTGACAAACTGGGGGTACTTCTTCGTCTCCAGCGTTCTAATTCTTGCCTCGGTGGTTACCCTGTGGTACCACTGCAAGGGAAAAAATCAAGTCGACCTTCCCACGGAGATGAAGGCTCCTTCAGATCCCGAAAGAGAAAACACTGGATACATCTTCCCCCCAAGATGGCACCATAAGACATTGTGGGTGCTGTATAGCATAGGTGCTAATATAGGCATAGCGATAACGATCCTGTATTGGAGCCTTTTGGCAGCGAATTACACTGGAGCTGAGCTTGGCCTTGACATAAGTACGCATGCTCTGAACAGTGTGTTCATGGTATTGGACATACTTTTGTCTTCGATGCCTGTAAGGATTTTCCATATGGTCTACCCCATGGCGTTTAGTATTGTTTATATGATATTTACAATAATATTCTGGGCAGCTGAGGGCACTAATCCCGTCAACCATAAGCGCTACATATATTCAGTTCTAGATTACAGTAATAATCCAGGGTTGGCTGTGGGGTTGTGTCTTGGTCTCATTTTCGTAGGAGTACCGTTGATTCAACTCTTCATTTATGGATTGTACAGGTTAAGGGAATTTGTTGTTGGAAAATTGAAGTCTTAATTGCGCGCTAAACGAAGGAGGCATCGATGCGCGATTAAAGCATGCGATAAAAACAGCTTACCTGATTAAGAAATATAAAACGGCGCGAGTGTTTCTGTCCTCAAGCGGCCGTTTTATAGTTCTTATATAATTGTTTTCTGCGTTTTTCGAGCGAAAAACAAAATTTGCCGATAAGCCGTGTTTCTGTCCTACAAACACGGTCGTCAGCCAATCAGAGCACGCGTTATATATCAAAAATTTTATAAATTCCAATAGAACTATAATGCATCAGTCCATTTGAACCCCGACCCCGGGAAATATCTGGGGAATCAACATTTTTAACAATGTTAAAACCCAGCCTTCCCCGGCCAGAAAAGGGGGCTAAACAGGTCATTTCCTGACGTTATTTCCCTCGACCTCTCGTTGATTATGCTGTTAAAACAGTGTTAAATTCCCGGCTACAGTGTGCTTATTCTCCGGCCACTTCCCGGGTTGTTATCTAAAATGTTGTCACTATTTTGTAGTATTAACAGTACTTTGCGTATTATATAGAATTAGCTTTGTTCTTTGTACTATTTTATGTTATTGTTATGAGACGAAGCTTCAATCCACGGCTTTGCGATCATATTCTCTACTGGTTTCACAATCTGATTGGTTTGGTCCACAGTCAACAATACACAGTCAACTCTCGCTATTACAGACACCCTCGGGACCATAATTTAGTGTCCGTAGTAGCGAGAGTCCGTATTAACGCGGGGATTCATATATGTTATTTACCGGCTAGGAGGTCCGTATGACTGTCGGTCCGTATATGAAAACACTGCCCGAGGTCTTGACAGTACGGAACGAGAGCAGAGAGGTCCATACATATAAGACCAAGGGCAGTGTTTTTCTATGCGGACCGACCTATAGAAGGTAAATAACATTTTTATTTTTTTTATTTGTATTTTATGCAACTTTGCTCGCAGCCTAGCTGCAGGATACCGTCGGACCGGGCAGATCGTGAAAAACCGGACCGCACGCTGCGTGAATGACTAGGATACTGGACCAAAAAAAAATAAAGTATTTTACTGTCCGCAATATCGAGGTGTCCTTTGTTTGTAGAGGGGTGTCCGTAAGGCGAGAGTTGACTGTATTTCCTGTTTCATTTTTGCTGGTTGATCACCCATTACGATCGTATAGCCGCCTCCTGGACTCACTCCATAGTTACTCGGTGACACAACTGTGTAACCTCCACCTCCAACCCCACCGGGTTGTACAACAGTAGATTCAAGGATTCCAGAGCACGGAGTCACGTGTCAGTAGAAAACCAAGAAGATTTGTTATTAAAATTGTATATGTACATATTCATTAGGACAACAATGTGTGGTGTTAACAAACAAAGCCTTATAATCTGTTTTCATATCTGATTTGACTCGAAATGTGTGCATACACGTACTCTCTTAACTGATTATCGATGAACAAAATGGCGTTGCGAGACGAATTTCGAGTGTCTATGTTCAAATTAAACCACGACAAGGCTCGAGACTTCGCTGAATCACCCGTAAGTAAATCAATCGACTAATACCAGCAATATTACTAACAAGGGAATACAGCTCTTAAAATTTACTAATATAAAACACCATACATTTTATCGAAACACTAGGTTTGGTCGAAATGAGCCATAAATAGAATGTTTGTTTTAAAATTACGCTTAGAATGCATTTTATACTCGGTATTGCACTCGTAAATAATAAAACCGTAGTCAATAGAATAATGATAAACTATAATAACACTAATCTCGATCACTAAGCCGCACCTCGATTCACTATTTTAAGTTTTGCTTATTTGAATCTGAGGCAGTGAAATGCTTTTAATTCATGCATGTGTAGTTTTTGTAGCTTAAAAAATGTCAGTGCACGTTTTGAAGTGGAGATTTTATTATCGTAAGATTTTCATGGAAGAACAAATGAATCAAGCGGAATGAGTGACCATTGTACGTCCAAAGCTCACCATTCACCATTGAAAAAGATGCTAATTTCCATGCAAGTATTTTGTTGAAGGCGTGACACATCCACGATATTCGGCGAGAGTGATACATTATTTCCTCTTATATCTGTTAATTTATTTAGTATCATTTCCAATTAAATGAACAACAACAACAACAAAACTAACAACTCGCTTAAAGCGTAAAATGGCCGTATTTCCAGTTATGTTTCATCAACCGGAACATCCATTTTATTATTTTTTTATTTTTTCATAAATTACATATTATCCTTTAGCATTTTTTAATAAGGAAACGCATAAACTAAAGAAAGCTACTTGCGATTCGGGCCAAAAATCAAAAGTCTTATTTCATCACAAGCAGCCATTTTGAATCAAGTTCAATCACGTCGTCTCAAATGTGTTTCCCGTGGCATGTTTACTCCTCTTAGCGTTCATTGCTTGGTTGTATATCAAGAATTTATATAAAAGAGCGAAAGTGTAAATTAAATTTCCCATTTAATGATTGAATATATCTTTGTCCTTGTACAGTGGATGCCTTGGTATTTGCTAGCCGTGTTACGCCTCATATTTGCTGCCTACTGCACTGGGTGGATCATCGCTAGTGGTTTCTTTAAASTCAACGGAGGTGCCAAATGGTTCATATTTTTGACAAACTGGGGATACTTCACCGTCTCCTGCGTTCTAATTCTGGCCTCGGTGGTCACCCTGTGGTACCACTGCAAGGGAAAAAATCAAGTCGACCTTCCCACGGAGATGAAGGCTCCTTCAGATCCCGAAAGAGAAAACACTGGATACATCTTCCCCCCAAGATGGCACCATAAGACATTGTGGGTGCTGTACAGTATAGGTGCTAATATAGCCATAGCGATAACGCTCCTGTATTGGAGCCTTTTGGCAGCGAATTACACTGGAGCTGAGCTTGGCCTTGACATAAGTACGCATGCTCTGAACAGTGTGTTCATGGTATTGGACATACTTTTGTCTTCGATGCCTGTAAGGATTTTCCATATGGTCTACCCCATGGCGTTTAGTATTGTTTATATGATATTTACAATAATATTCTGGGCAGCTGAGGGCACTAATCCCGTCAACCATAAGCGCTACATATATTCAGTTCTAGATTACAGTAATAATCCAGGGTTGGCTGTGGGGTTGTGTCTTGGTGTCGTTTTCGCAATCGTACCGTTGATTCAGCTCTTTATTTATGGATTGTACAGGTTAAGGGAATTTGTTGTTGGAAAACTGAAGTCTTAAATGCTCGTTAAACGTATGAGGCATGTCTAGGCGATTAAAGCATGCGATAAAACCAATTCCAACTTTTGAATTTTGTTTTGAATAAGAACTATTGTAATGCATCAGTCTATTAAGGACCCCAACCCCTGATGTTAAAATCCCGGCATTTCCCGGCCAATAATCTAGACGTTAATTCCCCTGCCTTTTAAGTTGATTGTGTTGTTGAAACAGTGTTAAATGCCCGGCTATAATGTGTTAATTCCCCGGCCACTTCCCGGGGTTTTATCTAAAATGTTGTCACTATGTAGTATTAGTAATTTGCGTTTCTAGTAAAGCAAGAAAGATGGACGCTTTGAATTTTTTAGCATACAGAGAGTGTGTATAGTTTTATACTGTACTTTTTGTTTTATAGAATTAGGTTTGTTCTTTGTACTATTTTATATTATTATTATTTTATTAAAAATGAGTCTCTTGAACATTATTGTCCAATTTTATTTGATCTCTTTCACAATTTAAGGCGCTTCATTTGAATTCGTTCATCATGCATTGCGACTTCCTTTCATAGTAGAGTTTCGCTTCTTTTAAATCTGGTCGACACATAACAAAAGCATAAGCGAAAAAGAAATAAAAAACTAAAACAAAAACTTTCATGCAATCAAGTCATTTCTTTTCTCATGTCTTACGATTACGCATGCGATTATGTCCATGTGTCATGTCACGCATTTCATTTCATTCATTTTTCGTATTTTGTCTTTACTTTCATTCATCTTTTTTATTTTCATTTTTTTGCTTGCGATTATGCTTATGTTAATGTCCTATACCATATACTGATCTTCATTCTTTTATATGTTCCTTTATTTTCTGCTTACGCTTGTGTAATTGTCAAAAACAGTTTTTAGAGTAATTGGATTAATAAGTGTACCTTGCATGCAGACCAACCAGCTCAAAGCATATGACTGTGATGTTTCATCAGTTTAGGCAATGCAACTTTGTGCTTGCGGCTTCCTTGGTTTTGAGGTTGGCATCTCACTGCGCCAACCAATCGTTGATCCATTTTAATCATCTGCGCCACTTGACTTTGTGTCTTCTTTCTTTTTATCCTGAGATCACACACTAAAAACCTAAATGAATGAATAGACAATAAATAAACTGTGAAGACTGCAACTCCCTCCACACTTGTACATTATTATGTTTAAAATTGCGTCGCTGGCAATTGTACTTCTCTAGAAGCAAAACTTGGATTTTCATTAAAGGTCTACGTGCATTCAAAAACGTTTGCCATCGTTTCTTTTGATTTATAAATGATCCCAAATGATCAAAATCCAAGATGTCGAATTTTTGTACATGAGAAAATCGCGCAAAGGCTCTTGAATGCACGTAGCCCTTTTACGTCGATTAAGTTTGACAAAATGGAAGAAAAGTGGGAAGGTTATTTCCATTTAGTTAAGCTCTCACTTTTTTCCACTTATGGTTATTCTTTCGTCTTAGTAAAAACCAAACATATTCAAAAAAGGTGCTTTTTATTCAAGTCTACTTTCACTTTTTTCTACTTATGATTACTCTTGCGTCTTAGTAAACAAACAAACAAAAAACATTCAAACCTTTGGGAAGCACTCAATTTGTTATTATTGCTGCCATATTCATCATCATCATCGTCATCATATACAACATCGTAGGGAATATATCCCGGATCATCACTCTGTTTATTCTGCTGACAATTGTTGGCGTTGAAATTGAGAACATCGGCGTTGGCTGCACGGGTCAGCAAATCTTTGACTTGGTCTTTGGAGGGAATGGCAAGTGTTATTAACTCAGAACAGCTTTGTTGGTCGATGTAGGGCGCTGATGAGTACTTTGTGTAAAGTGCATCAAAGTTATTAACACCATCTTTGCAGCTGTAGAAATAATACGTACTGGTCAATACCAAGATAAGAACTAAGCTTACACTCAGGAGGAGCCGAAGGGGTCTGTTCTTCTGAATATCCGTTCTTGTACGAATTTTTTCCAGGAAAAGGGATTTTGAGCTAAATTGTTGACAATCTCAAACAGCAAATGTGGTGCCCTTCTTTTTTAAAATAATTTTGTTCCTAGCAAACGTTTTTAAGGTCAAAAAGGCTTATATAACGATTTTATGGTCAAGAACGGCTGATGTTTATTTTAGGAAATTTTTATTTTCCTGGCAGAAATTCTTAGAAAGTATTCCTTGCCTGGAGAGTTTTTTTCCCTGGATTTCTCGCTGGCAACCAGTTGTGACTTACAGCTGCCTGGGACATAAGAACAGATATATTTCTCCCATGAACCCACCGGCTCCTCCTAACTACTGGCTTTTCGATATCGCTTTTCGATATCGATTAATCGAAACGACATCGATATAAAGAACAATTTTTCGAAGCTTCAACAGCTTTTATCACTATTAACGATGTATACTGCAACTATTTGTACATACTCCTGAATGACACGCCCAACAATCTGGAAAATCTTCCTGTAACACCGGAACACTTCAAGAACATGCTTCACGTGAGACGAAGCTTCAATCCACGGCTTTGCGATCATATTCTCTACTGGTTTCACAATCTGATTGGTTTGGTCCACAGTCACAATACCATCTATGATGATTTCCTGTCTCTTTGTTGCTGGTTGATCACCCATTACGATCGTATAGCCACCTCCTGGACTTACTCCATAGTTACTCGGTGACACAACAGTGTAACCTCCACCACCACCCCCACCAGTGACTACGGTATAGCCTCCGCCTCCACCCCCACCGGGCTGCACAACATTGTATCCACCACCACCCCCTCCTCCTCCTCCTCCACCTCCCTGATTTCCACTGCTATCGGGATTTACTATAGTATATGATGTTGCTATGTCAAGGGGATTGCCGAAGAACTTAGCAAGGTAGTTGTAAGCGGATGTTAACTTGGGCTTCCTGTCTTCTCTAGGCGGAAGTGATCGCATGATGACTTGTAAGGCATCTGCTGGGGGGATGTCTAGTTGCATCTTGGGAACGGCGTTATCTTTGATCTGGGGATGAATAAAAGTAACACTTTGAACTGCATGAATAGTGGTAGCTACTGGCTACACCCACCACTAACACCACCACTGCATCGTATACTGTGTGAGATGCAGAACACGGAGCACAGAGAAGCGCACTAATGAGCGTAGTGTATAAGCCTTCTCATTWTTCCATTCGGACTCCTTCTTTCCTCTCCCATTATGTTTATATCAGAAAACAGAGAAACAAGAAGACATGTTTATAGAGCGTCTCTCATATCAGAATCTAAAAAAACACCGATGAATAAAACATCAGTGCTTTACACCTGATATAGAACTGATACATTGAACATAAGTGTTTAACCGGGATTCAATGGACAATCATGTGTCCTGCCTCTTTTTGTTCAATATAATACTTAATTGTCCAAGAGCTTATGAGCTATTAATTAGGGAACTCCTCTTAATTTAATTGCCCTATCGCATAATTACGTCACAACAAAACATTCTATTGTTTTAACGCTAAGGATTATGGTCGCCAGAGGGGATCAGAGGGAATACATATCAAATAAAATGTAGATGAGCTATCATTGTAACATGATATACATCAAAACTCGATACACTAAAGTTCTACTTTCGGAAAGAATATTAATAGGTCCAAATTTCGAGTCTTTCTGAGCATCAGTATCTACAATGTAAACATACTGTGACGTCATTATGCCATAGGGCAATTCAGCACTGGTTTAGTTTTGAGCATTTAGTTCAAATGCACTAGTCCTCATCTTACAAASTTTTCCAGCTCCACTTTATAGGCTGCAGCAGTCTTCGATGGACCTTCTTTGATACTTTTTATTCCTTCGTCGACCATTTTCTGTCCAGCAGCACGCGCCAACTCTTTAGCATTGTCGCATGATGTTGTTATCGCGATTGAATCAATTCCATTCATTGCTGAAAGAAATTGATGAATCAATCAATCTAAATCAATCAATCTGAATCAATCAATCAATTGAAGCAATCTGAAGCAATCAATCAATCAAGCAAGCAAGCAAGCAATCTGAAGCAATCAATCAAGCAAGCAAGCAAGCAAGCAAGCAATCTGAAGCAATCTGAAGTAATCTGAAGCAATCAATCAAGTAATCAAGCAATCAATCGAGCAATCAAGCAATCAATCAAGCAATCAAGCAATCAATCAATCAAGCAATCAAGTAATCAATTAAGCAATCAAGCAAGCAAGCAAGCAAGAAAGCAAGCAAGCAAGCAAGCAAGAAAGCAAGCAAGCAAGCAAGCAAGCAAGCAAGCAAGCAATCTGAAGCAATCAATCAAGCAAGCAATCGATGAATACAAATCCATCAATCAATCCTATAGCTGATTGGGCTGATTATCCCAAAATAATCTAATCTGCATTGCTATTTCCAAACCTTCTTCGACGCTATCTAGAGTATCATTGACCCCTGTTGAGTATTCTTCGGCCTTCTCTATCCCTACAGTCATGCTATCGTACATGAGTCTTGTGGAAATGCGTAGACTTTTACTAATTGTGAGCTCGGCGAATCTCTTAAAGCGTTGAATGAGAGGTAGTTCCCTGAGCATGATAGGCTCCAGTGTAGTGCTTTGTAAAGCTGAGTACATCTAAAAACGATAATGATAATGAATGATAATGATGATGATGATGATTATAGATATAGCATAAATTATGAAATATGAATCATTAAAGACTTGCAATAAAGGTGCTTTAATTGACATGCATCTTCTAAACATTGAGCACATATAGGAGTATAAAAAAGATATTTTAAAATATAATAAAACATGTTGTCCAAATTTAGCTATACCTGACTTGCTATGTAATTTTCTATCATCTCATTCAGCATCGTTTGCATCTTATTAAATCCTTCATAATGAACCAACACTTTGGCGATGATCTTCTTCACTTTGTCCATTGTTTTCACCAGCTCACTGTGAACGTTAGGTACAGTCCACTTTTCCTTGTTACCGTCTCTGACTTCACGCTGTCATAGAAAATAAAGAATGTCAATAGGCAACGTTCAGCGACGCCATTTTGTTCAGCAAAGCATGATGGTAGTTGTAGTTCTTGTACGTTTTTATGTCCGCTACAAAAGTCTTCCCTAACAGTTTTTGATTTTTCTGAGCACAAATAGAAGTAGTTGTACCGTTTCTACTTAGAAATTGTAAAAACGGTTCTTAGTGTGCTTGCCATTTGTCAGAACTGGCTGGCCAGACCCAGAGAAAATGTCATTATATATCATTTCCTTTTAGTTAGGAAATTCAAATTTTCAAAAAGTCTATCCATTATTCTACAGAAAACCTCGAAATGACTGAAAAATATTGACAAAAAGCATTATATACCTCTAAATAGACTGGACTGGCCGGCCAGTTCTGCCTAAATGGAAAGCACCCTTAGAGTCTCCCATACAAGTATTACAACTAATATCATGCTTTTCTGCACAAAATGGTCGTTGCTTCACATTGGCTATTGAACGACGGAGTCAAGACAATTGAAGGCTGAATGAACAAATGAATAAGTAAATGGATGGACGGAAGAAAAATGGATGAAATGGATGAATAACATGGTCGTATGAAGGGAGGGGAGTGAGGAGTCCAGGATTTCACACTCATAATGTCTATCTTGCGCATTTTGAGAGTGATTTGAGAGGGGAGGGGAGAGGTATTTGCTGCTATTCTTGTGAAGTGTACTCACACTTATTTGGGCCGATTTCTGCATTATAGAATCCTTGAGAAAAACGTCGAACGTTTCCAGGGTACGTTCTTGCTCCAAGCGAATTTTCCTAACGTTTTTCCATATTTCGTTGAACATGCTAGTTGTATTGACCAATTCGATTCTCTTGTCATTAACTGCAAGTCAAGAAATAGGTACTTTTTAGAACCTTTTTTCTAATCCATAGAATGAAATTTGTGAAAAAATATTTATCATATAAATTATTCACTATGAAATGCCTATATTTGATCACCCTTACGTAAAATTGTTACTTTCACTAGTACCACTCCGTGGTATGAAAAGGAAAGGAAACTAAGGAAAAGGTGTTGGGTGCTAATCGTCCTTCATGGCAGCACGGGTGCTGAATTGCGAAAGACGCAGCTCGACGCGCTCTCAAGTCGAAATTAAGTGCTATATTACAGACACATTTTACATACACTTACACGCAGGCGCGCTGCCGGCTAGGCGCTTCCTTTACAAAGCAACGAACGACTGAACGCGGAGCACAGCAGATAGAAATGGTTCGTTCTTACAGAGGGAGGAAAACCCGGAAAGACCCGGAAAAACCCTCGACGCAAGGAAGAGAATGAAAGAAGCTCAAATCACAATCTTTATATACTGGAGGTACGCTTACTCGTGAGAGATCTTTTCAACACTCGAAGATAAAATCCGTATCTCCGCGCACCCATGTAATATTCTCTATATCTTATTTTATTATCATTATCATCATCACCTTCTTTGACCGCCTTTTCAACCTCTATGGCCTGAGAGATCAACTGTGCTATAATCTCTTTGTAAGCATCGGTAAAGCTGTTAATAAACTGTGTGCGATCTGCCGAGGCCTCCTGGCCCATGGCTTCCAACATGGACGCCGTTAATTGCTGTGCATCTTGTGAACTATCGCCTTGCAGACAAGACTGAAGTTGTGGTCCGAATTCTGTGTTGGTTGCCAACACGTTGAGTGACTCCGCCAATTGAGCGGTGTCAAAGAGTCCTAAACTCGTCCAGAGAAAATCAATCAGTACGTTAGTTCTATTAAGATGATTTAATGAAAACAGAGAAAAAATGGATTGTGAATTTAACCGATTAAAACTAGATATACTTACTCATAATTTGCTCATTCGCAGAAAGAGCTGTTAGTATAAATATAATAGACATTAAGTAAGAAATGCAATAATCTAGTTTCGAATTCTCCAATGCTCTGTGTTAGCCTCACTTGTGCGCAAAATATTCATTAGTTGTGGTGAGCGTAAAAGTGCGAGATTTCAAATCAAATTTATCGTCTTTCTTCATAAATTCGATGCGTTTTCTCGAGCTATCAATGAAACAAAAGAATATGTTACTTGGTTTTGAGGCTAACACAGAGCAAACCAGAACTCGAAAGTGGAGTATTAAATGCAAAATATTTAAATAAGAATTGAATGTCATTCCGTTAGCGAATCTATGCCAACAAAATGGCTGGTTGTTCAATGTTTTTGCTATAGTATCTGCACGTTTCAGACGATTTCATGCTAAAAGTCGAAAAATCGCCAAAAGCCAGTCCTAAGGTACTTCCAAATAAGGTATAAGATTACCATATATGGCTGCTAAACGAAGGACAACTTTTACTTTTCTGAGGCAATTCTTTGATATGTATATGAATGATTACAGGGATATTTCTAAGGATCGATAACGGCTAAAGGTAAGCAGGATAACCATACCTTGTAGTCCAGTGAGGCAACCTGTGATAAAAAAGAGAGTTCAAAAAAAATATTCGTCATGCAAGGAGAGCGCTTTGACATTCTAAGTTACTGAAAGTGCGCGATCGACTGTTTGTATATAGTACGGTTACCTGCGCCATCTTGAAAGGTAGCCGTGCCCTTACATCGAAGCGAGACAACCGTTGAGCGTGCAATGATAGATACATGTGAATGATTGTCTGTAGGTGTGAAAGAAGGTTGCACGCTCAACGGTCGTCTCGCTTCGATGCAAAGGCACGGCTACCTTTCAAGATGGTGCAGGGAAACGTAAAGAAGACTATTCTAAAAGATGCGCATTCTTAAATTACTGGTCTATATGAGAGGCAAATCTTGTATTCGCCATAGCATCTTACCTACTAGGGACTTAAGTCCATCTGAAATGAAAAACAGAAAGCTGTATTCAGATTTGTATAAGGTCGTTTATCGGCTTCGCATTGCAAATAGCTAACATCCAATTTTTTAAGTATACCAATGTTCTCAATTCACTTTTTCGGCAAAATTAAAAAAAGTGCCTTTAAGTATTAAAATTCGTGACTACCGAGGTTGAGAGAATATTTTCGAGAGCAAATCACAAAGGGAAATTCGTGGTACCCTCGGCTAAGAAGTGGAATCTACATTTTTTATAATTTTCAATCCTTGCTAAAAGAACTAAGAGTCTAATTCCAAATAAGAACAATCATCTCTATTATCTACATAATATACATTGTTTAGAATAAAAAGTGATTATAAAAACCATATAAAAACCCCTATCAATCCAATGTCTGTCTGTGTGGATGAATATATTCACCTGATTGATGGGCGGCGCAGATTATCAACAAAATCACTGCCAGTCTCACAGACCACATCACGGAAATTTTCTGAGGTCTGTCTTCCCTAGCCTAGCAAAGAAGAGGATACGAGCCAAATGAAAACTGATTAAAATCAAATATTTTTGCGTTTTGCGTTTCAAGTGTTTCTAACATGAAACAAATTGTAATAATGATTAAAAGCAAAGAAAAAAGCGTTAAAATAAAGAGTGTGTATTTGACTGATTTATGAAGATCATTGTGTAAATAGTGTAGATATTACATGGACGCACGGAGATATGGAGGATATTACATGGGCGCGCACGGAGATATAGAGGATATTACATTGTCGCACGGAGATACGGATTTAATCTTCGAGCGTTGAAAAGATCTCTCACGAGTGAGCGTAACGAACGAGTGAGACATTTTCAACACGAGAAGATAAAATTCGTATCTCCAAGCGACCATGTAATATTCTAATATTCTGTTTATCATAAAATTACATATGAAAGCAAATTATGTCGTAAAATGCGTTTTTTTTTTTTACTTCCACTATATAGAGAAACTTCGAATGTGTTATTCAGTAGTCACTAGTGAAAATAACAACTTAACGAAATAGAAAAATTTATGTATTTCATTAGTAGATAACTATAAGATAAAACGCACTAATTTCTAGAGCTTGTTAATGGAATTAGAGATGTCCCTGTGTGCACTGATATTTCAGGAACAAGGCCACAAATCGAAAGATTCAATGCTACCCTATAAGGACTCATGATCATTGCTAACATGTTAAGGGTCCTTCCAAAAATCAGAGTTGAATGAAATTAAGGGAATATTATTGCAAATCGATTGGTCTCGAAGATAAAATTCATATCTCCCCGAGCCTATATGTAATATCGATCCTAAATCATCTGAAGGTAAAAACTTACCAAGACCTTTCCTATAGGATTCCTAGCCACACGAGCAATCAACAAACCAAATTGACTGTGACGGACAAGTTATCCAAAACAGCAACTTTATGGTTATTAGATTATACATTATTTACCAAAACTTTGATTTTTCAATTTAGAAAGTACAGTTTGCAGGTATGTTAAGAAGTATAACCTGTCGAAAGCAATCCATCGTTTTAATTAAACGTCATATTATCTTACGTAGGGCTAGTAACTCCCATGAAATTGAAAATTGATTCCAGGGAGTGACTCTCTGATAAAACATTGTGGTACTATATAATACAGTAAAAACCCGCGTATAAGAACAAGTGGATTAAGAACACCCAGGCCTGATTTTATGAAATAAAGTACCATTTATATAAGAACACATTCAGTCTGAAAAATGAAAGTTGTTCTTATATGGAAAAATATCAAAGATCAACACTACTTTTCATTGCACACATGATAGTTCCATCCCAATTATATGTAGCAAAATAACAAAAATATGTACCGTTATATTGATTTCATCTATTGGTAGCCTAGTATATCCTTGTTTTTAGAAACGTTTTTTAAGAACACTTATAGAGGCTGATTTTGCAGATTATAACCCTTTATATAAAAACCAAATCAGCCTGAACCGCCAAAATAGGTGTTCTTATATGGGACAGTTTAGAGAAAATTTTGCTTTCGAGAATACCAAAGATCGAGTCCGATAGTGTGAAATAAGCCGGGGGGAAATGGATACTACACTAATATACCTTAATACGATCCAATTATATTGTTTCTTTTGTGTCGTTTTGACTATCACACTTTAAATAGTCAAGATTATTTGGTTTCATGTGGATTTAATGACTTTACTCTAAATAAACACAGAAGTCAAAGCTGAACTAAACCAAATGAAGTGAAAAAGGCAGACTTTTAGAAATAATATCGAATTTTTGAAACGCAACACTTTAGAAAATTGATTTCAATCTAAAAAAGGAAATGTATATACGGTTTGTAGAGTATCCGAACAAAAGTACAATTTGACTATAAAGTTTCAAGTGTTCGCAATTGAAATTCTTTTAGTACCAGAAAGAATACTTCAAAGGTACTGAGATTAATTGTCATGACATTACATTGTACGAGTTGTTTTGTTCAGAGTTATACGCTTTGATAGTGTTTTTACTTCCTCGAGTTCCTAGAGAAAATTCTTTGCTTTGAAATTATCAAAAGTCTCATTAAAAACACAAGTTTTGGTTTTTAATTCAAATTTTATTTTTACATTTGCAAATGAAAAAGAAGTTACAAAAATATCAACTCTTTCATAAAAATGGGAAGAATATTATTTTAATGGATCGTAGGCCGCATCTGGAACGTACATGTAAGCTTGTTCGTCATTCGAGTTCATTTCATCATCGTCTGAAATATATTCTTGAATGTTATCTTCTGGCGCGTCTTCTGGTTTTAATTCAAAATCATTGTCATCATCTCCGACAAGTTTTGGCTTTTTTTTACCACCAGGTCTTGGTCTACGACTAGGGAGTCCACTGGGTCTAGGTCTACGGCTAGGGCGTCCACTGGGTCGTGGTCTACGGCTAGGGCGTCCACTGGGTCGTGGTCTACGGCTAGGGCGTCCACTGGGTCTAGGTCTACGGCTAGGGCGTCCACTGGGTCGTGGTCTACCGGTAGGCTCTTCGTTGTCGTCATCTCCGACAACTGCCTTTTCTTCGTCTTCGTCGTGATCAGTTTCCATGTTTTTGTCGTCTGTTCGCATTTCAAGAAAGAAACACAATTCATTAGCAAATCATTGACTCACGATGACATGTATTTGTGATTTTGGACAATTTTCCGATGCCAAACATGAAACAAACAACCTACTGCAACTATATTGGTTTGAGTATAAGACACTGATTCAACATGTTATGTAGAAAACCAGAAATGAACAACTGATCATTGTTTGTATGATAATGTTGACCAACCAACAGTTCTCAGTACTATGTGATTGAGCATGCATAACTTTACCTATATCATCCAACATCTCTGCAAGCTCTTCGATCCTTTTGAAGTACTCGCTCTCTTCGAGACTTGTGTCTGAAAAAAAATTACAAAAAGGTACAAAATAAGTGCATCACCGCGTTGTATTTAAACTTATCTGTCAAATTTGTTTATGAAGATTAAAAATATCGAAAAATATGATAAATTGGTCATCAATATTGATGATGCATGGAGACCCTTCGCTGTCCTATGAGACAACGGAGCTGCTGCCTCAAATTTAGTCTAATTCTAAATGCTCCGATATGATGAAAATGCAGGAAAAGCCTAACTGGCGAATAAAAACGCTACGATTATGAAATAACTTACGATTACAGACAAAATTTAAAACGTTAAAAGAACATTTTAATATTGCATCTCATTCTTGATATATAAGTTGATTGGTTTTGATGGCGAACAGCAGTACAAATGTAAAACAACTCATTTCACTTCAAATTATGATGAATAATATCGCTAGCTCAAGTATCTATGATTTTGACTTTAACTTGTTTTTGACTTTTAACTTGTTCTAAAAAAGCATTTCAATAATGTACACGGAGTTTTCGAAGCGGACAAAGGACGCGTAATCCCCATTATCACATAATTACTAGTACTTGAACGAAGTACTGCAACAATGCAAACTCTGACTTCAAATAACAATTCAAATCCATTCTATCGAGTAGTTTTTAGCCTAAAAATGCCTTGTGCAATAAAACATTAATAAATGTCATCATGGATGCCCTGGCTGTCTATGACGGGACAAGGAATAAATGACATTCGCTATAAACCCCCAGGTAGAAACACCATTTCCAACCAGAGTTAGTACTAACTCTGTTCCAACCAATTGATATACGTTTGATGATTTTAGAGGAATTCAAAATATTCTATAACTACTTTTGGTTATATTTTATTTTACTTGAATAGTGTTTAGTAGTAATCCTTCAAATATCAAAGCTTACCCGATTCTTCAATCGGTCCATCATCCAAAGGAACAGCAAATGCCACGCCAATAACTAAGAGGAATGCCAGAAGCGTCTTCATCTTGATGCTAGAACTTGTTCACTCCGAAACCACAGCTACACTTCAATAGAAACAACTTCTCTGTCAAGGATCTGTATTGCAATGGACCGAATTTATATTTCGATGATCGTGGGTATGCCTTCAGGATAATAGCAATGATCAGCGTGTGCACAATTCACGTGCACACAGATAGTGACGAGGTTTACAAACCTTGACTGGAAAAATAAAGAGCTCGCCGGAACAAAAACGCCCCACCTACACTGTACAAAATCAAGCAATCTAGCTCAATCAGTTACTCTTATTGGCTCTTGTGAAAGTGGGTGGGCAGTTGAGTCAAAAAACATTTAATAAAAGAACAAAATTGTGTTGACTTATAAGGGCGCAGATACACTCCGCGAACATTTAGCTCCTTTAAAAAACATTATTATAGTTTTGCAGGAGAAAAGGACTGCAATTCATAAAAGTAATTTAGCGTTCGCTATGCACAAAGCAAATCCGTGTTATA